AAAAGGTTCACCTGCCTAAGGGTTATTTTTCTCTGCCTCTGCTGACATTCGTCTTTCTTCTTTTGTTGATTCGGACTAATCTGTTATTTGGACACGTGTCACTCGATCACCGAATTTTGTGTTTTTCTTGGTTCTTCCTTGGTTTCCTGGAAATCCAAAGAGCAATCTATTGTCTCTCGTTTATCCTCTAAAGCAGAATATCGAGCATTTGCCAATCACACTTGTGAGATTGATTGGTTACATTATCTTTTTCGTGATCTTCATGTTTCATTGGGTCCTACTGTAGTCTATTGTGACAATCAATCTGTCATTTATTTAGTTTATAATCTTATATTTCATGAGCGCACTAAACACATCAAAATCGATTGTCATGTGGTTCATGGGAAAATTCAACAAGACCTAATTCATCTTTTTCTTGTTTCGTCTTCCAACCAACTTGTGGATATTTTTACTAAACCTATTCATCATACAACTTTTGATAATTCTATATCTAAGTTCAATCTTTGTGACATCCACCGTCCAACTTGAGGAGGAGTATCAACATATTTGTTTTTCTATAACAAATCCGATTTTTCCCTTTGGTATTATTTTTAGTTATGACATTTCCTTTCTGTTCCATAGGATTATTTATATACTCTACTTGTACTCCTTTTTAGGGTGAGAAATTCTTAATAAAAACATATTGATCGTACGTATATGAATAGTAAGAACTTTTCCAAACTTAAACCTTGTAGTACAAGTTTAACAAAGTTATTTTACGTAGTTGCAAATTTGTTTGTTTAGCTTAATTGAATCTGCATTATTAATCTTCTTTTTTTCTTATTCACATTACAATATGATAACACACAATGTTAGATGAGAATCAAATGAGCACTATTTTGTATAGAAATGCATCAAGTAAGAACCCTCACATTACAATGACAAATATTATAATCATTATAGTTATATCATTGTACATCTTCTTATTTACTACTTTAACCGTTATCGATAAACTTGATATTGTTTGTCGAGTTTTTAAAATGAAGTTAGATAAAATGATGTCGATTTCAAGAAAAATAACTTCTTTAAAAAAGTCAATGCAGGTTTGTACAATTCATTACTTCATATTACAAATTTAAATAATAATGATTTTATATATTATTTCTTATTTATTTTGATGTTATGAAAGTACATTGTAGAATTCTATAAACGAGGATTTCCACACGTTCACATCTTACTATGATTGGATAGTGAAAACAAATTGAATAACGGAAAGGACATTGATAAGGTAATCTCTGTTGAATCACCTCATTCAGATTTGTATCCAAAACTTTCTAACATGGTTGCAAGTTACATGATCCATGGTCCATGTGGAGCTGCAAAATTCAATTCACCTTACATGAAAAAAGGTAGATGTTCAAAATATTATCCTTAGAAATTTACATCTTCAACTATTATAGATGAAGATGGATATTCATCTTATGGACGTCAAGATAATGGCATATTTATTACAAAGAATGGACTTAAACTAGATAATTGTATTGTTGTTCCTTATGAATGTAATTGAAAACAATAAGGGGGAGATTGATGGAAATGTGAAACATGTCCCTACATGTCCAAGAGATGATTTTGATGATGATTCAAGTCAACAACATTCAAAATTCAAGCAAACCCGAGATATGATTTTAATAAAAATTTCATTCAAATATCAAACAAGCCCAAGATAATTCCTGAATACTAAATAGAGTCTTAGAATACTGGATATGAAGGTACAAGTTGATAAAGTGGTATTATGCATAAGTCTCCAAAGCACAAATGTGATAAAATTTCGTAACATGACATTTTTCACTGTCATAATCAATTATGATGCATCAGAAATGAAAAACGAATTTCTCTTTGTCATAATCGATTATACTGGTAACATAATCGATCATGTCAGTTTAAATTTAAAAAATATAGAGAATATAAGTTGTTAAAATTCTAACTTAAAATCAATTAATTGATAACATGTGAAAGTTAAATAAATATGTAAAATCATATCACATGATATAGAGAAGGGAGACAATATGGGATTTCCAATAAGTCCGAATTTAATTTTGTCTCTAGTATCATGTGAAAGTTAAAACATAACATTAATTATATATATTTAAACTATACCACTAACATATATTTAAATTATACCATATAGATATAGATAATGTAAAATCTTAGTAGATTTTATAAAGTTGAATTAAAAACGTTTGTATTTTAATTATCGAATTGTAGTTTAGATAAATAAATTCGACCTTTAAATTATTTATTACAGCACTAAACATCTTTATATATATATATATATATATATATATATATATATATATATATATATATATATATATATATATATATATATATATATATATAATGATAAACAAAAATTTTAAATTATTAATACATTGTAGTTAGTTTATTGTGTTTAATCTTAGTTGATAGTCTTATTAATTTGGTTTCGTTATTAAATAAATTTTTAAGGTTTTAGTTTCTTCATTGATATGATGATTCTTGGAGTTATAGGTAGGAGGATTGAACTCAAAATTCATGAAACGGTGAGTGATGAAGGTTTTCAACGATACTTCATTATTATTGTTTGAAAATGAAATGTTTCAAATTTTTAGCTTATTAATACAATAAGACTTTTGTTTGAATTTTATTTGGTTATTACTTTATTTGATTTAACTAAATGCATTAATTTTTCTAGAGACATCCCTAGTAATAGTTTTGTTAGCTTAATGTTAAAATTTATCTTACATGCACAAAATATTAATATCTAGTATTTATGAAAAATTTTAATTGATAATAAATATTATAACTCATCTTTGTATTTCCATTACTTTTTTCCAAAAATTTTATCTACAACAATTCTCTTTTTTCTGAGATGACACATATCAATTTCTTCTATTATATTAAGATGTTAAATTATATCTCCATGAGAATCGAGAAAGCATTAGGAAAGATCATAGAAAATCATTAATATAAAATTGAAAGACAATGAGAGAAGATATTGATTTCAACCCTTCTGCTGATCATTTAAACAAATTCTACAAGAAAAATGTAATTTCGAAGGAAACCAAATACAGAGAAAAAAAAATATCAACTTTTAGAATTTTCATATTACATAGAAAAGTTTAATTTAATTAATCACATGATTTATATTCTTTATGTTGTACCTTGTGAAACAGAGTCTTGATTTTTTTTCTTGTCATCATTTTATTGCTTTTAAGTTTCTAATTCATGATTTTGCTTCTTTAATATACGAGGATTCTTGGGAAAAAAATTTATATAATGGGTTTCATTTGTAATTAATCTAATAAATAATATATTTTAAAAATATTATTTAAATAAATTTTTTATCAAGTAGATACGTATTATTTATATATAGTTTTTCTTTTTTTTTCCTAATTTTTATTTTTCTCTTTTTTTATTCATTTTTAATTTTTTTTCTTCCATCTCCCATCTTATTTTTCTAATTAAATAACTATATTAAAATTTAATAAAACATGTTTAAACAAATATTCTCAAATTAACATTAAAACTACAAAAATCTCAACTAATGGTTTAAAATTATAATGATGATAAAAAATTTTATTTATTATAACAATAAATAGTTTTATTTATGATGATGTAAATAATTAATTAAAAATTATTTTATCATAATAAATAATTACTCATCTAATTAAAAAAATATCGAATATTATAAATTAAATACATTTTTTACTTGATAATTTAATTTATTTATAATTATATTAGGTTAAGATAATTATTTAGATTAGAATAATTTTAAAAATAATATTTATTGAATTTTTTTTTAAATTATAACCTAACAATAATGTTTATAATATTTCAAATTTATCATATAATTTTTTTTAAAATATAATATATTAAGTTATAGTATCTCTAAATCATTTAAGTATTTTTATTATTAAAAATAATAAAATATTCACTTTATTAAATTTTAATATACTAATTTTAATTTAAAAATAAAATAGAGTGAAAGAAAAAAAAAAAGGAAAACAAAATATAAAAAAAATATGAAAATAAATAATGAGAAAAATAAATTAATTATATTATATAAGAAAAAAATATTTTTTCTTATTAAATTTTTTGAACGATATTTTATAATGATTTTCTTGTGGTATAGAATTGATTTCGAAATGTTTTACCGAATTTCTTAGAATCAATATTTTATAACCTTAAATATAATAATATGATATTGAATGGTGAAAAATAATTGTGATTATTTTACATTAATTATTTATTATCTAAGTTTAGGGAGAAAAACAGAAACTTGGCAAGATACTTACAAAGTGAGTTTTTCCACTCATGGTTGTTGTTTGTGTGTAGTAACGTCTGCACCTGCATCCGTGTGCTAATGTAAAAGTAAATCTTCTCATCCATCCATCCACCCGGAATTTTATTTCAGAAATGAAGCAAGTGATCAGTCCTCTATTTTTTTCTTGCAGATGCAATTTCATGAATTTCTGCAGAAATATGCAATGCCTTCAAACGAAGCAAGAAGAATTTTAGCGGCCACATATATATATATATATATATATATATATATATATATATATATATATATATATATATATATATATATATATATATATATATATATATATATATATATATATTATGATTTGAATTTTAATGGATTAAAACAGACCTGATGAATATCTTTTTCCTTCAATTTATGGCTCCTTAATGACCCTTTCATCCATCTTTATCTAATAGTAGTCTACATGAATCATTATGATTATTGATATCCAAGTTTAGCACATGATAACTTGAATCAATGACTTTTTAACAGTTAAGTGCATAACCCAACTCTTTTGATCAAAGATATACAACATAAATGAAAGAGGTGTCTCCTTTTATCATATCATTTCAACAAGCCTCCAGCAATCATTTTGTGAAGAAAGTTCTCCGCTTTGTCATTCTCTTTCTTTTTAAAGAGAGCACAGATTATTATGTTCAAAGTTATAGCATTAGGCACGCACGCAACCATTATCTTCCATTTTGGACCAAATGATCAATGCCTCATCAAGCAAACCCTCTGTGTAGACATTATAAGTGCAGACACTTAGACAATAATGACCTTTAATAAAAAATGTTGAAAAAGTTCTTGTGCATATTCCGTCAATAATCATATTTTTGAATAATCCAACTCCCTTGTCCAGATAATGGTTTTTGCATAAACTATCTATTAATATATTGTACATTATTACAATTGCTTCAAAACCTCTCTCATGCACCTCATCCATAACATCCAAAACATAAGATATTCTTCCAGACTTGCATAAACCATCAGTAAGAGAAGTGTAAGTCACACTATCAGCAACTATAATTTTCATATGCATTTGTTTCAAGAGATTCATGCCCTCATTCATCTTTTTGTTCTTACCTAATCCATTGATCATGATATTGTAGCGGTAAACATTAGGAATTATTTTCATTTGGGTCATAAAGGTTTTATCTTCTTCATTTTACCAATCAAGCAATATCTGTTAAACCATTACAAGTAACAACATTAGGTTTCATTCACACAAGCTTTCACCATCACACCTAACACACTTTTGGCATCTCTCACCCTTCTTTTTTTTATAGATAAAGAATTGATCAATATTTTATAAGTATAATAATCTGGTCTGATGTTTTTCGATGGCATTTCATTTAACAAACCAATTGCATTTTGAAATCGACACAAGATGCAAAAGCCAAGAACTAAAGTCTTGAAGGTGTATGTAACAAATACAAATGTGAGAGACGTGGGTGAGAAAAAGTTCGTTAAGAATAAGGGACACGTGGAGGGTGATACGAAAAGTAATGAAGGGAAAAAAAGCACGGCACCGCAAATGGAATGTGCTTTTAAAGGATTTTGTGCATTGAGAAACTGAGGTTGAGGTTGTTGGTATTACTCTTCTATGTTAATTCTCCACTCTCTCTGAATTAATTCCCTCTCTCTGTCCGTCTTTTCTAACCTTAGATTTTCCCTATGATTGTAGGTGAAATTGTTTTGCTGCACGAGGAAGTTATCACGTCAATTGTTAATTGCAATTCTCCTTTGTTTACAAATGACTTTTCATAAATAAAAAGCCCGTGCAATTGATTCTGTTATTGGTTATTATTGCCACTATTTCATTGGTCCTGTTACATTCAATTCTGCTAGGCCAATTTAATTTCTCTATTTCATTGGTGCTTTCATTCTCATCAATGACTGACAACAATGATCGTACACGCCTTCAAACGATGCAAACTCAGATTACTACTCTGACCATTTGGATGGAAGAGCAGCGCAAGTATCAACTGGAAAATAATGATCGTTTCGAGAAGATTCATAAAACAATGGAGTTGTTACTCAGGAATCAAGGTTGCGCCGTTGGTGGTCCGAACTCAGAAGGAGGTACTCCAGATTCTTCTGTCACTTCCGTTTCTTCCCCTGTGCGTGACATGTCTTTGGGATTTCCCCATTTTGATGGTCACACTCCATTGTTAGAATGGATTTTAAAGCAGAGAAGTTCTTCAATTATCATCATACTCCAGATGTCGATAGAGTAGAGATTGCTGCCATTCATTTCGAGAAGGAGGTCATTCCCTTGTTTCAAATGCTTTAACGCGTGAATTCCGTGAATTCATGGTCAGATTTAACCAGTGCCTTAGAGTCTCAATTAGGTCCTTCTCCGTTCTATTGTCCAATGGGAGAGTTGTTTAAACTTCAACAAATAGGTTCTGTTTCAGATATTATTTGAAATTCATGAGTCTAGCTAACAGATCCGAAGGCCTTTCCGGCGAAGCCATTTTAAATTGTTTCGTTAGTGGGTTGGAGTCAGATATTCGCCGAGATGTTATGGCTCAGAGTCCTACAACACTAATTCGAGCAGTGGCATTAGCAAAATTATATGAAGAAAAATATGTTCTCAAAGTTTCTTCCCGAAATAACAATTATAACTACAAATATACCCCTCTGTCAGCCACTAATCAGGGGAATTCGGGGTCTGTTACAACTGTCAAAAATGCTAATAAGTCTTCCTTACCACCGTTATTACCCACTCCTAATACTCCTCCTCTCAAAATGGGAGCTGTTAAGAGGATTTTGTAAGGAACTGAATCAATTGTATGTTTATTTCACCGAAAAGACAAATTACACACTACAGTATCAGAAATTCGAGAGTCTGATCTCTCCTGTCCAGTCTATAATTCTTCTCCCCCCCCTCTTCTGCTCTCTGTCTAAATATTTACAATTAACAGCCCATAACAGAATTAGTTTGTACAACTAATCTGCTAACAGAATATTGCTACAATTAACAGAATTAATCTTTCTTTCTTCTGGTATATACATGCTTAATTGGGGGTTTACTAACAATACTCCCCCCCAAAAGTTTCACCTTGTCCTCAAGGTGAAATTGAGGAAATTGTGCCTGAATAATGTCAAATGGTTCTCAGGTTGCTTCAAAAATGGGAAGATCCTTCCAATAAATCAAAACTTCAACGATGCCTGAATTACTTGTGCGAACTTTTAAGATTTCCATTGGTTCCACTTGCAATTCAAATTCTTCTGATAACATAGGAGGTAAGGGTTGAGGAGTGATGTTAGGGCCAATAGCTTTCTTGAGAAGAGAGACATGAAAAACTAGGTGTATTCGGCTATCACTAGGCAACTGCAACTGATAGGCAACTGGTCCCACCCTTTTAACCACCTGATAAGGGCCATAGAACCGGGGACTTAATTTCTCATTCATCTTCCTCGCGAGGGATCTCAACCTATAAGGTTGTATTTTAAGATAGACCCAATTTCCTACATCAAATTGGATGTCCCTCCTGTGTTTATTTGCAAACTTCTTCATTTGATCTTCTGCCTTCACTAGAGTAGTTTTTAAATCATGTAAGCATAACATCCCTTTCCTCTGTCAGCCGATTCACCTCTTCAATGACTGACGGTATGGTGGTACCCTTGAGGAGCAGTGGTGGATCACGACCATACAGGGCCTTGAATGGTGTAAGTTTGGTGGAGCTATTGTAATTTGCATTGAACCAAAATTCTGCCCAATTTAACCATTTAGGCCATTGCTTGGGTTTGCTCCCTGTTAAACATCTTAAGTAGGTTTCTAAACATTTATTCACAATTTCAGTTTGGCCATCAAACTGAGGATGATAAGTTGTACTAAATTTTAGTTTAGTACCTGCCCTTCTGAATAGTTCAGTCCAAAAATTACTACGGAAGATCTTGTCTCTATCTGAAACAATAGTAGATGGAAACCCATGCAACTTGACTATTTCCTTAAAAAAAATATCTGCAATATCATGAGTAGTATAGGGGTGGCATAAAGGCAGAAAATGAGCATACTTATTTTGCAGGTGTTAAGAGTCTGGTACTTATTTTGCTGGCAAACCGTATAAGCTGCTACAAACTGTTGGATATCCTTTCTCATCCCTTTCCAATACACAAACGTTGAGATCCTTTTATTAGTCCTGAAAAAACCAGAATAACCACCCATTGCTGAATTGTGAAATTCAGATAACAACAGAGGAATGCGTGGGAAACCTTTCGGCAAAACCAACTTCCCTCGATACATCAATTTGCCATTTTGAATAGAAAATCTAGGATGGGCATTAGGATCCTATAGGATCGCTGAAGTAATTAGTTTGAGCTTATAGTCAGCATATACCTCGTACAGAGATGGCAAAACGGGTCAGTCCGTCCCGTTTTGGCCCGCCAAAAGTGGAGCGGGGCAGGCTAACCCGATATAATCATGACGGGTTACGGACTAGCCGCACATAATTTAGAAAAAATAATTTTTTTTTAAATAATTTTTTTTAATAAATTTAATAATAAAATTATTATTTGTTTGTTAATAATTCAATATATATATATATATATATATATAATTTCAATATAATAATATAAATCAATATATTATTTTAAGAAATTATAATTTAGAACAATAATAAAATTTACATAATAATAAATAATAACAAATATATATATAACGTTATAACTTATAAAATTTATATTTTTTATATTGAAAAAGTCAAATACCTATATCTTTTTTATTTGATAAAACATCACATTATTCTTGGTTGAGTAATTATTACACCTTTAATTCAAGTCATAAGAATAAAAATAATCAGTGTTTAAGATGAACAAGGAGAACAGGAGAGAAGGTTGTGTTTCAACGAGGAAAATATTTTATGTGAGAGTGAAACTTTTTTAATTCTCTTTTTAAAATTTTTAACTTTATATATTATCTTTATAATTAATTTTATTACAATAAAAAATTATTTTTTTATTAATTAGGCGGATCGCGGGCTGGCCCGCCCCGTCCCACAGGTTGGCCTGGCGGGTTGACGGACTTGGCGGGACAGGCCAAAACGGGCTGGTGGGCTGAAAACACCAACCTACCCCACCATATTATAGCGAGCTGGCGGCCAACCCGCCAGGCCTGACCGTTTTGCCATCCCTAACCTCATCCATCCAATCTTCTAGAGTTGAAAACTGTACAGCAGAAATGACTGCATATATCATCTTCCTGAATCATCTGCCACCCTATTTTCAATTCCGGGTTTATATTTAATTTCAAAGTAGAATCCAATCAATTTGTCAGATTTCGAAATGGAACAGAAACAAGGGGGGTTTTGGTATTTATCAAATTAAATGAAATAGAACAACAAAAGATTGTATAAATGCGGATTAAAACAGATTAGGCCCTTAACAGAATGCATCTTTAATGTCATTGGTTCATAATATAAAATCTATCAAGTTCAATTTCTCCTTACGCAAATTAAGCAAATGTGTAAATGATCGATTCTCCTTACAAGATTAAGCAACTCATGGTACTGGATACAATAAACCTGAATTCATTAAGCATGACTTACGTTTAATGATCCAGTGTAGAGAATCAACTACGAGGAACTAAACTGGACATTAAGTGCAGAGAACCTCTCAACAGATATTACAGTCCTTCAAGGGCCCAACCCTCCGAGTTTAGTTATCCATTAACACGAAATTACAACAACAATAGAAGATGGAAACAGTGCAATAACAGGTTAATTAAAAACGAAAATGAAATGCAGAAAACGAATTGCAGCAGAATTTGAACTACAGAAACGAAAATGGAATAGAAGTGGAAAAATGTAAGATGGTAATGGCCAACAGAAAACAAAAATGGATTGTATTAATCTACCAATGAGCCTGGAATAGTCCCAAAAACGAAGTGCAGGAAGAACCAAGATAAAACAGTAGTAAATGAAAACCCTATAGTGGCTGCTCTCCTCCTCTGCATGGAAACTTAAACCTAGATCCCTTTGCCCTCACCAGCCAGTTGGGCCCCCAACAAATCTGACCCAACAACAAAACAAAATAAAAATAAACGAAAATAATAACAATGATGTGGCAATGACATAGCAAGTGACATGGCAAGTGATGTGGCAGTGCCATGGTCGGTGATGTGGCAATGCC